CTTCCAGAAGTTAGGGATGTAAAGATCCATGCAGTAGCAGTATATCTAGTCTTCAAGGACCAATCCATGATGGATGCCATGACACATGGGAAGATACTTTACAATCCAACGTTTTCACAGTTTTAATGGATTTTGACAGCAGACAGCTGATGCAGGTAATGTATATGTACGACAAGAGGTGGATCGGATAGAATCAAGGTAGGTCATATCAATAGACTGCTACAGGGAAGGCCACAACAGAAATGGTGTTATTCATATAAAAAAGATGTTCGTAAAATCGGCAGATCCACCCCCACTTTTTCACATTTCACATGTGATGACATATTGTATCCGCATTTCCTATCATGATAACATGATGATTTGGTTCCTAAAGCAAAATTATTAAATATATGGCCCTTCCTCCCACCACCCCATTCAAAATCCTTGATCCACCCTCACATAAGTGACAGGAAAAGTCCTGTAAGGAACAAAAAAGCATTGGGCACTGTTGCAAGAAAGGACTACACAGGGATCAGTTTTAACTCCTGGGCACAATTGCACAAAGAGATCTTAGCGCTAAGACTATCGTAAGCCTATGTTAAAGTATGGGAGTTAGGATCATCTCAGCACTAAGACTATCGTAAGCCTATGTTAAAGTATGGGAGTTAGGATCATCTCAGCACTAAGACTATCGTAAGCCCATGTTAAAGTATGGGAGTTAAGATCATCTTAGTGCTAAGATTGCTTTGTACATGTGGCCCCGGCCCTGGCTGCTGAATCCTCTGTGTTCTAATGATGTATCACTATCTGCACATACACCTGGTACCGATGAATCTTTACACCCCTCTTATTTCTGGCTTAAAAACTGGAATAAAAACATCACACTACAAACCCAACAGTTACAAAGGAAAATGGCACTATTCAAACAAGAAACACCAATAATATCTGACACATCAAAACATGTACCTCCTAAAATTCACCAACACATGACAACTCAAATATCATTACATCAACACAATCAAAAACATCCAGTTAAATATAACCAACAACACAAATACATGCATTACATGCTGAAATAAAATACACTATTTCTCATTCAACAACAAAATAAATATGAATGCCATCATGATGGATGCATAAAGCTAGCGCAGCCAGCTCTGGGCTACTGGTGTATCTGTGGTTCTGAGATATGCAGATCTTAATGCCAATACTGGTACTTGCTGCCTCAGGGTCGACCTAGTATGGTATAAAACTGTAAAGATGAGTGCATGTATCATCTTCGACATTCTGAATTCAAATTATGTTCATTCATTATGATCAACCATAACTATGACAAAGAGTGAAAAGAAAATTTTAATGGGAACATGTGAGTAGGTTGGGTTTCACACCAGTCACTTTAAGCAGTATTATCAGTTTCATCGAGGCGTGACAGATTGATGTGGGAGCATAGATATAGTGCAACCCTAGAAATCAGGGCAAACCTGGTTTCGAACCCATGACCATCAATTTCTGGCGTGCCAAAGGGATGCAACTCTGAACAGCAAATTGAGGCGCCTTAGACTATATGGGGATGTTTTCTTTTAAAAATTCAAAAAAAATTCTGAATATCAGCTATGACATGTTGTTGAAAATATCTTCTTCATGTTCTTAGATGCCTTTAGGATAAAAGCTGACACTGTTTATGGAGAAAGTAATGCTGACTAGATTATTTATCTGTATAAACTAAACAAAACTGTCTATTGAATTTTAACAGGGGCAGTGTTGGTTCAAGTTTAACACAGCAATGTGTTCAACTTAACAACATTAATAGCAACAACAAAATGAACCTTGAATACAAGTTAATACTATAAAAGTGTGAACAATTGGCAACAGACATTATCAAGGGAGACAGATGTTATTGGACATTGTTGATAGGAAACAGAATCTACCACAGAAAAAGGTATTTTCCAAACAACTTGCATCATCTCAGCTGCCAGGCATATCGTGTACGCCAGCAAAAACATTCTAGCATATCTGTGTATTAAGTACAAAATACAACTCTCCAAATATTTAGTATTTCATTGTACATTTGCTCTATCTATTCATGTGCTAATCCCATCAAATATATATGCAGTTCATGCATGTTACCATCATAACAATATAGAGTATTTATGACAAGATTAGTTCTATGATTACAAGTTAATTTCTGTACAAATAAAAAGAAATGGTGAATAAATAAACATTCTCACATCTAGATTATAATGAAATCATAATATCATCATAGTTGCACTATGAAATAATGTCAAACAGCTGTAAAAGTTGTGAAATTGTTATCTATGAAAACACAAAGTCTGAAAAAGCAAGTATTAATAATTAATTATAATAAATAAATTCTTTCATAGGGATACAATATGTCATTTGTTAATAAAACTTTGATAAAACACTAAACAACAATGCAATGCCCTACAAATCAGTGGGCATGCTATGCAAGCACAAGTAGAATCATAAGAGTTATCTCCCTTGAAGTATGATGCTCTTGGGGAAACATTCTCACTAAACAGCACAGAAAAAGGTTTCAAATAAATGGGAGTTTAACATCAACAAAAACTATTCAGACTCAAACAGAAAGAAGCATGATTCGAGGTTAGAAAGTCATAGAGGCACATCTTCTAAATGTTCCATCTGCTCACACAACTCCAACACGTGAAACAGGTCATTAAAACACCTTCAACATAACAGACAGGTATCACTGTCAGTCAAACATACAACAATGAAAGTATCAAATACAATGGTGTATTAATCGATCTCAGTGATAAAGCTGAACAATGAGGGACCAACAGCGGAAGTACTTCAATGTACTGAACAGTTTCTTCCGCCACTCTCAGTACCTAAATATCCTCCACAGATCACACTCCATTTCATCACACACACCAGTCTATAAGCACACTGAGGGTCCCAACTGTGATAAGATTGCTGCCAGGAGAATAACAATAAAGGCAGGATTTGAAAGTTCCTGTATTGGAGCGCCAATGGCACAGTTAAAATTGTAAAGAAAGTTGGCACAAGTTAATGGTGCTCAAACGCACATGATGAAGTGCAGAATATGAAGTCAGTTCTTAATCTCTGCTCCAAATGCAAATTATACTCCAGCGATGATTTCATGAATCTTCCTCAGGCCACTTTCCTCTATACAAGCTACTAAAGTTATTTTTGAGGAAGCACAGCAAAATAAACGTAACAGTACTTTCTTTTTTCCTCTGTCAATTTCAAGAGAAAAATCACGGCTGTTAATAATATTTTTCAATGGACTAAGGTTATCATAATATTTTCGAAACACAATCACACATCCTGCTCAAAAATGTATTTTCCAAGCAAAATAACAACTTGGTCTTATTCCCACCGGCCCACAATCCACAATTAAATGTTCAACAGTAAGCACTGTTACTATAACTGCCAGGCAAAACTTCACAAGATGGGACCCTGAGAAAAAGATCTATAATCACTGGTAGTGGGACGGTACACCAAGGCATCGATATTTTATTTCTCGATACAAGTATCGATCACAACTGCACACTAAGAAAAAAGTATCGATTCTAACCTTAAATGTACTCTTTAATAAATGTTACACCAAACACTAATTACAAGTGAAAATGAGAAGTGAAAAGGTACAAATTTCCGACCATTGCGCCATACTTGACACTGCCAACAGTAATTTGTTAGTGTGCCAGGTATTTGTCTATAAAAAAGATGGCACACGCACAACTGATGAGCACATGCAGGTATCGGATCATGAGCAAGATATCATGACACATATCGGGTCGCAGTTGGTGTATCGTCCCAGAGTCACCAGGCACATGATTGCTACCCACTGCCCTGTATGGCTCCGTACAGCGCCGTACGTGATGCTGTTGGTGTATCGTCCCAGCCCTAATAATGGCAGAGTCACCAGGCACATGATTGCTACCCACTGCCCTGTATGGCTCTGTACAGCGCTGTACGTGATGCTGTTGGTGTATCGTCCCAGCCCTAATAATGGCAGAGTCACCAGGCACATGATTGCTACCCACTGCCCTGTGTGGCTCCGTACAGCGCCGTACGTGATACTGTATGACACACTGGACTTGATTATACCCGTACATTTCAAAGACACAGATTTAGAGCTATATGACTGATTGTTAATGAAAACAGCAAAAAACAAGTATGGTTCAAATTACCTCATTCACGTTTGAAAAACTGTATCCTACTTTCCAATACACAATGACAATAATTTCCATATTCCACCAGATTTGCATGTGACAAGTTACTAAATCAGACAACCCAGCAAACTTTGTAAACTAAATGCGCCTTTCTTTAACTTCCCAGTCACAGATAAATGGCTGATTGTGGTTTATGTTGCAGGTTTAGAAAGTGTACTAATTTAAAAAAATTGAAAAGAGATTGGCAAAATGTTATTATTGAAAGTCTAACTGTCGAAAAGAGTATTTCTGCTCAAAACTGCCAAACATTCTTTTCCCCTTAATCAGGGCAGTAACGATAGAATTTGTTGCTATGTAATAGCAACAATATATAGTTAAATTGTGATATGATATACACCACGATAAGAAAGAATTTCAAATTTCATCATCAAAGGGAATGAATGAGGACCATCAAAAACACATCAAGTAACTCGGAGTCAAACAGTAAGGATATCTACTGTAATAAGCGCCAAGGGGGCGCTCAAAATTAGAAATAGGGGGTCTTATTAAAATATAATTTTGGTGAAGAAAAAAAAACTGTTGAAAGATCATAAATTTCGTAGTTTCTGCCGACAGCCTAAATGATACAAAAGAAAAGTCTGTGCGTATTATACACGACAGATATATTTTTCCAGAATGTAATTGCCCGTAATTAAGGGTGCATATAACACACGAGTGCAGCAATAGAAACTAACAGTTTTCGTCCACTAGTCCTTATAATGATAACATATAGCAAAACCCTTAAAAATGGCAAATTTCTACAAGTCCTTCGGATACCTTAACTATTGGGCACTTTGGCAAGGACTATAGGACTAGGGCCAATTTCTAACACTTGAGTGCATATTATACACAAATATATAAGTCTTGTGTACATTGATCAATTGGAATGGGTGCTAATTGGGATTGTTCACTAGCCAATATATTAGCCAATATTGCCGTGGGCACTTATTAGAGTGGGACGCTTATTACGGCAAATACGGTACTTGTATTTTTTTTATAAACACTAATGTAAGGTTACCAACCTTGTATCATGGTACCAAACATTGCGCTGAACCAAACTGTAGAATATCTTTACGACCCTACTGGCAAATACAATTTGAAGATGAAAAGAAAGTGGAAAAATGGCCATAGGAGGAAATTACAAGTTTTTTTATAAATGTAAGGCAGATAAAGAGAGTAGTCGATGGATGCTTGTCGCTGTCATCTCAGACAATTACAGTGGAAGATCCTAGATAAACCCTTGTGAAAATATCGACCCCACCAACTCCACATTGCCTTGGCGTAATGAGAACCACACATTGCTTCTCCATGGAACACAATACTGTCCAAGTGAGATCATAGACCTCAACAACGTCTTCAAAAGAGTAAGACCAAAAATAGCAGCTGTGTTTCAGGTGAAAAAACAAGCATTTAGTAACAACCCATTTAGTTAGCTTTCATACAAATCAGGAATTAATGCGATAATAAATTTTTATAAATAAATTCCAGGCTAGATCAACTTAATTTCCTGTTTTAGGTGAACAATAAAACTAACAAAATCATTTTAAATAATAATAAAAAATATTTCAAATGTTCATAATTGACAATATGGTAGTGTACCACCCCTTGCTTGTACCCGGTATTTAAAATATATAAATTCAATCAACCTTAAACCCATACTGATCGATCAATGTTTTTTCATATTAATTTTTTTTAATCCTGACCAAAGTAAAACATGTAAAAAGGAAAATATAAATTAAATAAGAATCAACTGTACCGGTAATAATTACCGGGTAACTTATTTACCTACAAATTACAAACATATTCACGGAAACAATAATACCTAAAATTCTGATATGTCAGTCAGTCACCTGACACACATCTATTTTTTGGGCCTGACATGGGCACTCTGCCTTCAACAATGTAATAAATACTTCAGAATATGTACAGGCAAGTGCCCGGTTGTGACACCTACGAGGAAACCCAAACGGCAGTGTCCGAAATTAGGCCCGAAGCCAAAGGGTCCTTGTCAAAGCACCAATCCTAAAAGTTAGATATTTTAGGGGTCCCTTGATTTCATATACAACATACACAGCAAACCTCAAGGACACCTGGACAGCCTTGACTTCCGACACTGCAGAAAGAGCATCCACATTGTTAGTGACAGATCAGTTACGGACACAATCATATGCATACCATTTTCAGAGAACCAAGACAACGAAACGTTCAATTTATCTTTTGAGAAATTCTATTACTTTTGCGATCATGAATGTGTAACAGATTGTTTTAAAAAGTGGATAAACACAACTTTAATAATGACCTCAGTAAGAATTACAGTGGTAGTGAGTGAGTGAATATGGTTTTACACCGCTTTTAACAATATTCCAGCAATATCATGGCGGGGGACACCAGAAATGGGCTTCACAGATTGTACCCATGTCGGGAATCGAACCCCGGGTCTTCGGCGTGACGAGCGAACGCTTTAACCACTAGGCTACCCGACCGTTACAGGGGTAGACACTAGCCCTCTGCTCGTTTTGTTAAAACAGCTAAAGTTTAGGGATAAATCAACTAACTCCCCTAGATTATCTGGCACTAGTGGGTGCACTCAGTCCAACCCGTCCCTTTTACATGGATGAGGCCAAAAGAAAATGGGGAAATCCTCTCAATGAGTAGATTTAGAAACAGGACAGGCACGTCTGGTAACCATTTCAGCTTTTGAATGATACACTTCATCTGCATCAGTTTCCAGTTGGTAGAAACGTCAGATACTTGTTGTAAGTTAATGTTACAATACTCGTCTCAGTCCAGTCTGTGCCAAAGGTTTTGAGACAACTAGTCAACACGGATGTTTTCTAGCATCATTTTCCAGTAGAATTTCATGTTCTATTATGTTCTTATATGGACCATTATTAGCCGAGCTTACTCAACTGAACAGAAGTTTACCAATCTTGGGCTTCTCTTATCTCTTATCTATCTCTCTTATCCTTAACAGCAAATAAAGAAACAAATTGCGCCTTTCGGCTAGGAACCTGTGCAGCTTGAATCTCAGGGATGAAATTCACTGAACTAAAGCTTTCAAATGCTCCATCATAACTGATCATTCACCAACAAAGACCATGCACACGCTGGACATATGTATAAATGCTGTACGAAGATTTTAACTGACAGTCTTCAAATCTTTCTGCCAGTGGAAGCGATCGTTGTTGGGCGGCAGACCCTGTCCCAGTTTGGGAGGCCCATGTTTGTAATTGAAGCCCTTGTTGCGGAAACTGGTGTTCAAGTTCTTGTTCTTTGCTGGTGGGGAGTATGCCCCAGGTGCTTGCCAGGGCTTGAAGCCCATGGGGGGAGGAGGAGGGGGAGGGGGGACACTGAAATCAGGGGGGATGAACGGTCGACCATTGTCCAGTTGTCCAAAAGGCTGCCTGTTGTTGAAATTGTTAAATTGTTGCTGCCGTCGGTGATTCTGGTTAAAAAACTTTTTGTTGTTGTTGTTGCTGTTGTCAACCTGTCTGGTGTCCTTGTCTGCCGACGCGTTGTTGTTGTGGTTGTTGGTGAAGTGATGGTTGTCAGTCTGTGATACTGGGCGGCTGTTCGGGGGGACCTGCCACGACCTGGGCTTGTCCAAGGGCTTGGAGTTGGAGTTGACACGTGTTGTCGTGATGTTCAGCTGTTTGTTGTAGAGCTCCTTGGCTTGCAGGATCAGGTCGGACACATCCAGCGTGTGGGCCTTGTTGTCAAGGGATCCGTCCTTCATTGACGCAACCATGCAGTAGTTGGCTCTGATGTCACCGAATCTGAAACGTAAACATAACCATTTAGATTTCCTGATTTTTCTTTTAATCACTGCTATCATCAAATCAATGCTTAATATATATTTTGTTACAGGACAACTGTTCCAATAACTGAAGATATTGATAAGGCACTAGTCAAACCACTGCTGCTTTTGGCCTTGGGTGTTATTCTGACTAATAAGCTGAACATGCTAAAGGCTTGAAAATATAATAAGTCCACTAGACAAGGAATAATATTAAATAAGTTGTAGCAGGATCACTTGTGGGATAAATGAGTGAGTTGTGTTCATGGCATATCAGCTTAATGTGGGAGGAAAGCCCGAAGTGATGCAGGTCTCAGACGTTTACCACTTCGGTGAAACCCACGAGCACTGGTATGGTGCTGACAAACCTAGAAACATAATTGGGGCGAACCGGGATTCAAACCCACAATCATAGGTTTCTGGCGTGCCCAAGGGACACAACTCTGCACAGCGAATTGCGACTGTGGGATAAAGCCTAACGAGGGACTCATAATACCCCAGGTATCCCGAGTGAATTTAGCTTACTGACATGTTTTAATATGACATTGTTAAACAATTTAACCACATTCAAATCTGATTCAAAACTCTTATTGAGCTGAGGTTAACTTGTGCTATGTAACATGACTTCCATTGATTCCGAAAAAAACATGCGCCTTTTTCCTTTGAAGCGGGATATAAGGGATTTCTTCTGCCTCTGAGAAATCAATGCGCACCATGACTTGCTCGCGGCGCGCCGGGGTATAAGAGATTTATTCACTAACTGAGAAATCTATTTCCATCCGAGGTGGGATATATGTCATTTTTTCAAGATCACGTGGACCAATCAAATCTCATGATTCTGACATGGAGGTATGATAATGAAATTTGTGAACCACCACTTTGGCATGCCAGGACGATGGCAAATGTAGCCGATACTTTTTTGCAGACTATTCAAAATACAAGTTAATTTCTAACTCTCAACACAAATACAGAAATTTGCATAGAATGGGATACGATGACATGCATCAACCAAGTCAGCGAGCTTGACCACCTGATCCTGTTAGTTGCCTCTTATGACATCGTAGTCACGCTTTACGGCAAGCAGGGGTTGCTGAAGACCTATTCTACCTCAGATCTTCACGGGCCCTAAGATTAAGAACCACTTCAAATATCAGACAAACTTGTATTACCCAGCAGCCAATCAGTTTCATCCATGTTCAGCTTAATGGTCTCAAAACACACAATACATTTAGGTTACACAAAATGTTGGCCGTAGCCAAAAGGTGGGGCTGGTAATATATGATGAGGGCTTGCAACATTTTTTGTTAACATGCCACCCTGGCCAGTGAACTACACATAAGCTGAACATGGAACATAACTTTTTGAGCAATTTTTACAATTTTTGAGGAGTTTTTACTCCAGGGTTTCTATTCTAATTGGGTTATTATATTTTTCATTGGGTAACCAATATTTTTTCACTCATCTATTCTCATATTTTTATACATTTGAGTTTTTCTTTTAATGCATGCGTTTCTGTACACAAGTTAATTGAAAGTACTGGATTTGACGTAATAAGCGCCCCGCTCTAATGAACTTAATATATTGGCTGGTGAACAATCCCAATTAGCACCCCTTCCGATTGATCAATGTACACAAGACTTATTTATTCGCGTATAATAAGCACTCATGTGTTATTTGCACCTTAATTATGGGCAATTAAATTCTGGAAAAAATATATCTGTCGTATATAAACATTTCAGGCTGTCAGCATAAACCACAAAATTTATCTTTCAGCTCTGTTTTTTTCACCAAAATAATATTCTAATAAGAGCCCCTATATTTCTAATTTTGAGGGCGCCCTGGGTGCTTATTACGTTGAATACAGTAATTGGGTTTTGAATATTTCTAGGGGGTATTTTACGCACATATGCTGCTTATCTGTAGCTCTGTTGGACAATTGTGAAAACTTGGAAAGCCACGCACATCTTACAGCATGTACCAATAATGTAAAACTCAGCTTTTTCAGGGCCAGTGTGGTAACTTTTCTGCAGGAAATTTTCCTCCACTTGCCCGACTGTCTGGCAGATAATTTATAGCCCACTTACATATTCAGTTTTATTAAAAGACCTTGTACATTTGTTGTAGATTCTCAAATAATTGTTTGCATTATTTCAACGGACTCAAAATGAGATTTGTCTCATATTTTTGTCAATTTTTCAATATTTACAACGTCTGAATTTGGGCAGGTAACTTTGAAGATGTGCAGGCAATATTTATGGCCCGACTGTCTTGCTGGGTTTTAAAATTATTTCAAACACTGGTCTGGTGTTTCTAGATATGTATTGTATCATGACCCATGCCTTATAACATGACCTTCCAAAGCGTTGCAGCCTTATCACCAAGTGACACTCCTAAACTTCTGAGCAGAAATGCCAATTGTTTGTTGTTTAATGCCCCACTCAGCAATATTCCAGCTATATGACAGCGGCCTGTAAATAATCGAGCCTGGACCAGACAATCCAGTGACTGATATCTCGAGTATTAATCCATGCATTTGGGATACATTGACATGCATCAACTAGCTGACCGCCCGATTCCGTCTGTCGCCTCTTACAACAAGCATAGTGACTAGTTGCAATTTAGGGCAAGTATGGGTTACTGAATACCTAGTCTAACCTGGATCTTCACAGGTGCAGTTAAATGACCTACCTCCATCCACAACCATGACCAATTGAATGATTCAATCAGGAACTTTTTGTGTCTGCAGGGTTCATAAAAAAAAATAATTTTGCCATTCATAATTTGTTTTCGTTTTAAGATGGTAAAACCAGTGACACATAACCAGTTTGTGACTATAGCCACTAGTCTAGCCTGAGTCTAGTACAATTCTATTTAGTCTTGTATGCTCAGGTAATAATAGTCCAAATGATCATGATGATACCAGAATTAACACTAAACTCTACTGAAAGTGATACTAAGAGCCATATTCATGCTAGTTGACTCAAACATCTTTGGCACAGATTCACATGGGATCAGTAACCAAACAGTGTCCAAAAATAAGCACGGGACCCACAGCATTTCATAACAACCCTGATGTGAAAAGTAAAACATTTAGGGGGTCCCTTGTTAGACCTCAAGGTTGGTTGGTTTGTTGTTTAACGCTGCACTCAGCAATTTTCCAGCGAGATTACGGGTAGAAACTAACATATTTAGTCCACTGGTCCTTATAACGATAACATACAGCAAAACCCTTAAAAATGGCAAATTCTACTAATCCTAAGGATACCTTAAATATTGGCCAGTTTGGCAAGGACTACAGGACTAGTGCCAATTTCTAACCCTGTAGATGATGGCGGTCTGTGTAAACAATCGAGTCCGGCGCAGACAATCCAGTGATTGATATCATGAGCATCAATCCACGCAGTTGAGATCGATGACATGCATCAACCAAGTCAGCGAGCCTGACCACCCGTTCCCGGTTAGTCACCTCTGACGACAAGCATAGTCGCCTTTTACGGCAAGCACGGGTTGCTGAAGATCTATTCTACCCTGGATCTTCACGGGTCTACATTGACCCCTCCTTATTCAGTGGCTAAACAAGTCTTCCAGGGCTGAGCCAGCAACACAGGACACATGACAGGCCAAGTTCCCACGACAACAGCCCAGGAAATAATGCTGGCTGCCTCAGCAATAAATCGTTATCAACTTGCACAGAGCTAAGGTTGCCGATCCGGGAATTGACCAATGCTTCTCACAATTGATTTTTCTGTTTTTTTGCCATGACATTCATCTATTTAGGTACTATGAGTACCCACCTTTCCTTAGGAAGCAAAGCAGGGAGGCTTAGGATGATGACTGAATGATCATGTCACAAGCTCATCCCCCAAGTCAGTTTAACAGTATGACTAGAGACAGTTCAGACTGACCTGGTCTTACATTGCCTATGTGACAAACTGATAATGACCAATCCTGGTATTGATCAAGCTTTCAGTGCCTAAAGGGAGCAAAATCGATCTGAGCAACTATTCTCCCAAATAAGTCAGTGATATTTGTTACTGTTCACAATATTGTCTGATAAATGACATATCTGACAGCAAACATATTGTGAGCCCATTTATGCAGGGGTGACCTTGTAAAAGTTAAACAGGAGATTAAATAGGAGAGAATCCCCATTATTCCAGACTGAATGGGATTTTTAATCAGCTCAACGCGATGTCTAGAAATATTAATGGGTTTACAGATCATGTATCTTTTTGCGTATTTTGTGTGTGAAATAACTACAGGCAACCAAAATGATCAATGATCTTTTTCATCTGTTAATATCAACATGAGAATCTACAACTGTACAAGGAGTTATAACAAAACTGAATATGTAAGTAGGCTACAAATTATTTGCTAGACAGTTGGGCAGGTGGAGTAAACTTTCCTGCAGCTTGACAGAAAAGTTACCAGCCACGGGCAGACAGTTATTTTGGACACTGCCTCGAACTGTTTATTCGTCCTGTTATCAGTGAGATGCAAGTCACCTATGCAATACGATAGCGTTACTTATTATTATCATAACCCCGTGGAGATCCGGGTAAGAATCGGTCTTCAGCAACCATGCTCAAAATTGCTTGTAGTATAGACGAGGAACCGGATCAGGTGGTCAGGCTCTCTGACTTGGTTGATGGATGTCATCATATCCCAACTGTGTACATCGATGCTCATGTTAATCACTGGATTGTCTAGTCCAGACTTAATTATCTACAGACCGCCGTAATAAAGCTCAAATATTGCTGAGTGTGGCATTACAAAAACTACAGTACAGTAAAGTACGGTTATAACGAACTCAAAGGGACTACTAATTTTAGTTCGTTATAACCGTAGTTCGTTATAAGCATATATACAGCATAACTACAGCAAATAGTCGGGACCAAAAAAGTAAGTTCGTTATATCCGTCAGTTCGTTATAAGCGTGTTCGTTATAACCGTTGTTTACTGTAATATGACGGGGCAATA